TGTATTGTTTTGGAGGCTGTCCTGGAACTTGCTCTGTAGACCAGGCTGGCCTTGAACTCACAGAGATCCACCTGCCTCTGCCTCCGGAGTGCTGGGATTGAAGGCATGCGCCACCACCAACGGGCCTGTCTCTACCTAAGAGCTAGAATTACACACATGGCCCATCACATTCATCTTTCAAATGTTTCTGATGTCCGAGAAAAAAAAAAGGGAGATGGGGGCTGGAGAGATGGCTCAGCAGTTAACAGTCCTTACTAAGCTTGCAAGGTACCTAAGGTCAATTCCCTGAACCCACCTGTAATTCCAATTTAGGGATCTGATGCCCCCTCCAGGCTTACATGGGCACTGTACTCACATGCAATGACTCATATAGGCATACACTATATACATAACTAAAAAATAAATTGGGGGGGAGGAAGATGACCAAACCACACACTGAACCCTAGAATTCCTTTACATTCATTTAGACCAATCATTCTCAACCTTCTTAATGCTGTGTCCCTTTAATACTGTTCAGTTCCTCATTTTGTGGTGACCCAACTATAAAATTATTTCCATTGGTACTTCATGACTGTAATTTTGCTGTTATGAATCATAATGTAAATATCTGATATATAATCCCAAAGGGGCTGTGACACACCATTTGAGAACTGCTGATTTAGACTAACCTGGGCCTGTCCATCCCTGCAGACTAAATACCTCCTACTTGCCTGCACCTCAAAGAGAAAGATAAAACTCTAAGTTCTGAGAGGTACCAGGGCCCTGTTTCCGGACATCCTCTGAGGATACATCCTCTTATCCCAGCTACTACGAGAAAATGAGGGTAGCAACCACAGGTTCAATTGTAGATACCTTGGCTACCATTAACTCCTGATATTCTATAATCTACAATTAAATTAACATAAAACTTGTTTACAAACTGGAAGTGATGGCACATGCCTTTAATCCCATCACTGGGGAAGCAGAAGCAGTTAGTTTCAGGTCATCCAGGGTTACGTAGTGAGACCCTTTGTTACAAACAAAAACAAACTTCTTTAGAATCCAAATACCACACTTCAATGACCTAAGGATGCTCCCTAATTAAAAAGAATTGTAGGTTAATCCCAACACCTGGAAAGCAGAGGCAGACCAAGTTCCAGGCCAGCCTGGGCTATTAAAAACAAAATTACTGTAGGGGCCAAACCACTTGCTTAGCACCTAAAAAAAAAAAAAAATACAAAAAGTAACTATAGCCAGGTCTCCAAACTCATCAAATTACATTTTGGATAAATGTAGCTTTTAAGTACCAATCATACTGCAATAAAGTAGTTTTAAGTAGCACTGAGTGTAGTAGCATATATCTGTAATCCCAGTATTTAGAAGGCTGAGGCAGGCCGGGCAATGGTGGCCCACATCTTTAATCTGTGAGTTCCAGACCAGCCTGGTCTACAAGAGCTAGTTCCAGGACAGCCTCCAAAGCCACAGAGAAACCTTGCCTCGAAAAACCAAAAGAAAAAAGAAAAAAAAGGAAGGTTGAGGCAGGAGGATCAAGAATTTGGGGTCATGATGACTAAGCTACATGGTTTCAGGTCAGTCTAGCATTCTAAACCAGCCTGGGCAATGTAGCAAGACCCTCTCAATACATAAACACCACACACACTGCTCTCCAGAGACACTGATACTTAACCATCCAGGACAACCAGTAGGATTATCCAGGAGAATCTAAGCAGGATTTTCAGGGTCTATGTGACATCATCTGGTACTCCATCAAGACCCATCTGGAGGAAGAAAATAGCCTTAGACCAAACAGGAACTTCAGCTTCTACCATTAATTCCCCACTGTCCTCTTTAGCCTTCCAAGGGTATCAAAGCTTTTAACACAGCTCTTCAAATGCAAGAAAATGGCCGTTTCCTCCCTCCTTCGCATGGTCTCAGGCTTTTCATAATGTGTGCTATTTGTCCACATAGTAAACTACTGGTAGTTAACCAAATAAACCATGAGGTCTCATAATCCACACAGCCCTGCTCCCCAGTTTTGCTTCTGAAATAGAACCTCACTGTACAGCCAAGCTAGTCTTGAACCTAGGATTCTCCTGGCTGTCTTAGGAGTCATCCTTTCCCTTTCTACTCACTAACAACCTCCTCCTCTACTCACCCTCATCTCAGGGAGCGCTAACCTCTAACTTCCTGGTGTCACTATGGTGTCACCACTGCCAGTCAAGTCCTTCTCACACACACCCCTTACCACCTTTCATCTGTATCCCAGAGAAGGAACCTGATGATCACAATATGGATGAAGCCCCTTGGGTAGAGCAGAAAGCAAGCAGGGAAACCTGACTTAAGAGGCAGTTCAAAGTAAGGGATCCCTCCTAGAACTGAGAAAACGCATCATTCTCCTAGGAGAATGTTACCCTTAGGAAGTGAGGTGTTAAAAGCAGACGGTAGTTTTTACTTCTCTAGGCTTGTTATAGCTAATCAATAGGTGATTGGGAAGAGCCAGTTTCAGCCACAGCAGTAAATCACCAATGTTAACAGTATTATCTGGATGCAGGTTCTTAAGGATTGTAAAAGTGACTGCCTGGGACCATCTATTTTCCCCCAAGCAACTAAAGGAGAGGGAGCTGAGAGTTCCTGGGCTGCAGGTCAGAATACAGCTGAGGGGAGACCAGAACAGACCTGGATACCAGGACATCACCAGCCCTCAGTTTTCTATTTAATAACTTTCAACTATATCTTAATTTGTATTCAAGTGGTGGTGGAGAATGGCTGCCAGGGTGCACATGTAGACACTAGAGGGCAACTTCCAGGAACCCGTTCTCTCTCTTTTCATTCCAAGCATCAGGGAGGTCATCAGGCTTGGTAGCAAACACCTTTATCCGGTGAGCCATTTCACCAGTCCTATTTTATTTTAAAATGCGAAACGCTTCATGAGATTTCATTTCTTCTTTAACAGAGCCATGCTAATCTACCCTGTATTCTTCATACTCTGTAGTCTATGTGCTACCAAAATGAAGACCTGCTGAACACCAGAACTCTGTTCAACACTAAATTCAAGCCCATGTCCCTCTGCTGGTACCACTCACTACTCTGAACCACCAAGGCTATACAGCACACCTCAAGGCCCATAGGAGAAGAGTGGTGACTCTACTTCTAATACCTACCCTCTCTCCCAGAAAGGAAATGTTTAAATTAGCCAAGGTGCTCTTCGGTGGTGGTGGCACAATCCCAGCACTGGGACACACTGAGGCAGGAGGATCTCTGTGAGTTTGAGGCTAGCCTGGTCTACAGAGTGAGTTCCAGGGCATCAGGGTCTACACAGAGAAACCCTGTCTCAGAAACAACAAAACAAAACACAAAAGCAGCCAAGGCCCACATACTTTTTCCAACTCCTCGGTGTGTCCATGTGGTTAATTCCCACCCGGACCAGTGGGTCTGAGGATCTGGTCAGCCTTTCAATAAAAGTGTGAAGTCCCTGCTGAGGGCCAATCTTCTAAGAGATGCTAGATTTGGGATGGAGCCTTGCACAGCTTGAGGAGGCATTGCCCCCAAATCCCAGTTTCAGCATAAGAGATGAGAAGACAACCGAGACCACAGACACACCAGCAAATAACACACATTCATCGTTCCCCCCAGGGGACGTTCTAAAATTCAGGTAGGTCAGGATGGGGTAAAGGACCCCAAGGCAAAGGGGCCTACAGACATTAAGGTCGAAAGAGGACAAAGCCAACAGAAACCAAAACCAGGCACTACTCCAGAGCTACCAGCAGAGAGACGTGAGTGAAGTGAGTCGTTGCACATAATTCTGCCTCCTTGCCCCAAAGCAGGATCAAACCTCGACTATAAAGATGTCATGTCACTGGTGCGCTGAGGCAGGTCTCTGCTGGCCCTGCCTAGCAGTGGGCCGTTCGGTAGCAGCCCATAGCACAACCAGCAAGAAACATCAGGGCCTCTGCGGTTTCTACCCCAGACCAAAGGGAAGGGCGCTAGGGCTGGATAACTGACCCTTGGTTTCCTGGGCAAGAGCGGGCCAGGGCGGGGCAGGAAGGGTCTCTCAGCCCTGGAGTGACACAGCACACGTCAAAGGAGCTCCCTAGGAGCCTGTCCCCTTCCATATTAATTCTGCTTGCCTGCATGCCTAGATTCCATTCGCTGCTACCTTTAAAGTTTTCATCCCCTTCAAGTGCGTCGTCCTCAGCAGCCCAGGAAACCGACAGGCGCTGGTGGTCCCTTGACAGTCTCACAACCCCTTCTTCTCAGCACAGGGAGGCTGGACAAGATGATGTCGCCTCTCTTTGGAGGATCCCACCCAGGACAGTTTGGGGTACTGGCTTGGCTACTCGGTCAAAGGACGAGAACAGGGACAACTTAGCGTTTCCAAGTTCTCTCTTTTCAGACTATAATTAATTGAACTGCCGGCTCATCTCTGTAGACGCCCAAGTTCTGGGACTGACTGGGAGGAAAGCCCGCCCGGCCACTAAGACTACAGCTCTCAAGTACCTAGGCGCAGGGCAGCTGGTCCGGCCTCCAAGGTCATGGGGAGGGGTCAGGGGGGGAAAGGCTGGAGGGTGAGCATGCTTCCAACAAGCCCACCTCGATAATCTCTCTCAGCTCCTTCAAGCCAAGGCAAGGGGGGGGGGCGAGGGGGAAGGCCACCCATGAGGTTCTCCTCAGCCGAAGCGCGCGCGCAAGCCGGAGCGGGCGTGAGGAACGAGGGCAGCGGGTGTAGGAGCCGTGAGGCGCCGTAAGCCCACCACGGGGACACACGGATGGCGGCCGACGCGCGCCCTCCTCGAGCACGGGAGGGCGGGGAGACAATGCCGGCCCCGCCGGGCCAGTCCAGGCCGCACGCCCCCGCCAGCTGGACACGGGCTGCTCCTCCCCGGGGCGAAGGGCAGCGGCGGGAAGGCGCCGGGAGCGGTGGCCCGCACGACCTCGCGCCGCCTCGGGCCCCGCGCGCCCTTCTCCCGAGCCCACCTCCGCGTGCACCTCACGGGCGCCGAGCCCCGCGGCCGCACACCCACCTCCTCCTCCAGCGGGCCGCTGGGGCCCGTGCCGGTGCCCGCGCCGGTGCAGTGCTCGACGTCCGGCTTCACGTTGCTCATGGTGAGGCGGGGGGCGCAGAGACGGGAGCGGGACGCCCGGCCCCGAGGTGGGCAGGGGCGCGGCGACCGGTGCGCCCCCGAGGGGAGTGCGGGCTCGTGAGAAGACGGGCGGCCGCCGCGTCAAGCTAAGGAGAAAGGGAGGGGAGGTCACATTAAGTTTGGCGGGTGCGGGAAGCGGCCGAAAGAGAGAAGGAACCGGGAACCCAAGCGAAGCCCGAGCAGCCGCCGCCTCCGGCTTTTCACTGCGGCCCGCGAGTGCGCCCGCGGCGGCGGGGGGCGGGCGCCGGGGGAGGGGGCGGGCGCCGGAACCGGCCTCAGCTGGGGCCCGGCCCGCCCCTCCCCCGCCCCGCGGTCTCCGGGGGAACGCGCAGCCAATCCCCGTAGCCCACTGCGGGCTCGCCCCGGCCCCGGCCGCGACGCTCCGGCCCCTGCGCTTCTCCGCTCGGGCGTTTTTTCCTCTCCGCTCCCTTGGCCGACCCCCCTCTCCCTTTCTCTCCCGCACTCGGCCCTCAAACACCCCCCCCCACTGCCCTCTCCAAGACAAGTTTTTAAACTTTGATGAACTTTTAAGAGAACTTTTCTTAAAGGAGCCGCGCGGGTTTGGGTGGAGCTTGAGGTGCCCGGCGCGTTGCATCCCCAGCCGGGGCTACCGTGCTCCCGATTTCAAGCCCTGACCTGGGGTTGTAGGTTGTCCTGAGCACTCGGTTCACCCCAGATTCCTGTGGGGTTCGGCCCAGCGCGTCTCTTCGCGCGCGGCCTCTGGGGGCCGGGTTCTTGGGGGGGGGAGGTGGGGAAGGGGGAGGGCGGCAAACACCTGATCTTGAGCCTGGCACAGAGTGTTTATGCTGAGTGACCTTGAGGAAATCACTTCCCCTCTCTGGCCCGAGGCTTCCAGCCTGGAGGGTGGGAATTAGAATACAAATTCTTCCCGCATCCCCTCCCCACACCCGTCAACTCAAAAAGGAGTGGTAGGGAGCCCACTCGTTTTCGGCTAGAGGAAGGGTACCTCGAATGACCTAGAAGGTTGCGTTCGTTACCTCCACCCCACTTTTAAGACTCCTCACGCCTCGCTCTTTTTCCGCTCCAATTCCCAACCCCAGGGTGGGGGAGGGAAAAGCGGGCTGACGCCTAGGGCGGGGTCACCTAGACTCCCACCCAGTGGTGGCGGGGGGCGCGGCCTTAGGTCGGATTTTTCTCCTGCGATATAAATGCTGACCAGGACTGTCTGCTTCCTACTGATTGTAAAAACCCGCTCCTACCTTAAGTCGCACAGTAAGAGCAGTGGCCCTGACTGCTCTGCCGAGCCGCTGGAGCACTGGGGTCCTTTCCTGCGCCCCCCCTCCCCGACCATCCTTGAGATGAGGGGAGCTGACGGGGGTCTGGCGTCCCCGGTGCGATCTGCTTGCTGCTCCAACTTAACTCTTGGAACTTGGGTCTTAGTATCGGGATTCGGGGCGTGAGGTCACTTTCAGAGGCGGTGGACGTGAAAAAACCTTGATTTGCACCCCAGAACCAGTTAGGAACCTTGACCTTGGGCAGTGGCTTAGTCCCTGAGAACTTCCCTGAGCAGACCTGCCAAATATGGTTAGCTCCATCATGCGTGAGAGCTGTGCCGTGGCCGACCTTCCTGATAAATCTTGTCATCCAAATATGTATTCTCAAAGCTAAGTAAATTGAGGTTTTTGCCAGTGATATAGCCATCCATTTGGGAAATAATGTTGAATCCCTACTGTGGCCTGGGCGGAGATGGAGGGGTACTCTGTGCTTACTGATGGCACAATTCCCACCACATCCGAGCCTACGTTTGCTTGGTTCAGGTCCTGCTCTCTGTAGGAATAAAGGCTCTGACAATCCGAAATAGAGGCTACACTTTCCCAGAGTTTTCCTACTTCCAGCTTCCCTTCCTCCCTCTCCCTCTCTCTGCCTCCCTCTCCCTCAGTCCTGGAACTCACTCTGTAGACCAGGCTGGCCTCGAATTCACTGAGATTCTCCTGCCTCTGCCTCCTGAGTGCTGGGATTAAAGGAGTGAGCCACCACTGCCTGGCCTAGTCAGTTCCCTTAGGTATCCGCAATAGGATTGACTTGAATTTTTCCAACAGAAGGGCATCTTGTAGGTAAGGGCTCCATTTTGTAGAAGGGGAAGTTGACGCCCAAAGAAAGAGGCCTCTATGGGTCTCCATCGCTGCATTTTTCATGTTAGGAAGTTGGTAATGCTAATACACCACTTGGTAAATAATTTAAAATGTGAAAATGGAGAACAGTCCTGCCATCTGATGCACAAGATTATTATATCCTTATAGTCCTTTCTCGATGAATACTTTAAAAACCAAAGTTACATTCTATTCTGAACATACACTTTACACTTTTTGTTGTTGTTTGAGACAGGGTTTCTCTGTGGCTTTGGAGGCTGTCCTGGAACTAGCTCTTGTAGACCAGGCTGGTCTCGAACTCACAGAGATCCACCTGCCTCTGCCTCCCAAGTGCCACCCGCCCAACTTTACACTTTTCTGGTAACAACAAATTCTTAACTCAAATTTTGGTGTCCACCATTTTTTCCAGAAAGAGTCTGTTATGTTGAGTAGCTTGAACTCTTAATCCTCCTGCCACCGACTCTCAAAATCTAGGGCTACATGCACTCATCACTTCTAGCCATTACTACCAACACTTCCCTTGAAATTATTTGTGAGGTTGGGGCACACACGTGTCATGCTATTTATGGGGAGGTCGGAAGACAACCTGAAGAGATTTGTTTTCTCCTTCCTCCAGGGGAGTCCCAGGAATCAAAAGCCAGTCTATATAGCCTTGGTGGCAGACACCCTTGCCTGATGAACTGACTGTCTGGTGCCTTGTCCCTTCATATTTACAGAACAGATCTGAGGGTGTAGTACCAGCCTGGCATGTACAAAACTCTGAAGTACAGTCTCTAGCACTGGGGAAAAAAGATAATTGCTTAACCTCATTATATGGTACCTTTTATTTAACATTACCATCTGTTTGTTTGTATGTTTGTTTTGAGACAGGGTTTCTCTGTGTAACAACTCTGGCTGCCCTGGAAATAGCTCTGTAGACCAGGCTGACCTCGAACTCAGAGATCCACCTCCCTCTGCCTCTGCCTCTGCCTCCACCTCTCAAGTGCCTGGCGTTGTGAGGATTTTTGATGCTGCCTACTGGATCAACCCTCATCTGACTGGAAAAGGGAATTGTGGGAGTTTAAGTCTGGCTTCCTGCTTGGAGGATGGGAACTTTCACCTGTCTCCTCCAGCTGTGGCTTGCACGTAGCTCAGCCTCTAGCAATCTCTTAAGTGCCCATCATCTTTCTTCCAGTGTCACCTCTGAGCTGCTCACATTTCTATTCCGTGAGGTCTCCCCGTTCCAGCTTGCCTTCCTCAGTTCTCACTCTCCTTTCCAAATGCTCACAGTCTCTTTTGACCCTGGGAGTGCCTGTTTCTAATTCTGGGGAGTACCCTACTGGAGGAGTAGCCTCCCGCAAGAGCTTGACCAGTAGTTTTCCATTAGTAGATCTCCGACAGACCTTAGTTGACTATTCCTGGGGCTGCTTCTGGAGGATGCTTCAGGGTTGTCTGGTGCCCATGTCCCTTTCTCGGATTTTCTATGCGTATTTCTTGTTATTTACTGATTTGTTTATTTATTTTGCTGCAGGATCTGTTATGCAGACCAGGCTGTCCCCCTCAGAGTTCCACCTCTTTTCCTTCTGAATGCTGGATTAAAGGTGTGTGCCTCCACTCCCAACCACAATGTTTCCTTTTTTCTTTTTTGGTGTTTTTTGTTTGTTTGTTTGTTTGTTTGTTTGTTTTTCGAGACAGGGTTTCTTTGTGGCTTTGGAGGCTGTCCTGAAACTCACTCTGTAGACTAGGCTAGCCTTATAGAAATCCCCCTGCCTCTGCCTCCAAAGTGCTGGGATTAAAGGCATTTGTCACCACCACCCCACAGCAATGTTTCATTCTTAAGAGTAGGAAAAAAAAAATCCAGACACTGGCTACTAGAAAAGAAGAAAATAAGGTAGCCTCATTCCTGAGAAATGCCACCCTCATGTATCTGGACACTCCAAAGCAGATCGGGAATTCTGACTTAACTTCTCCAGGTAAGATATCCTGGGCAGGAACCAAAGTTGAAGATGAACTTGAGGTTCAAAGGATGGGTGTTTCTGAGTTATTGTTTTGGTCGTTGCTAATGGAGTTTAAGTTCCATCCTTTTAGGTGAAATAGGTCTGGGGGAAGAGGACAAGAGGCTATTCCCTGTAGTTAAAACACTGTTTCTCTAATCCCCCTATTGTACCTGCACTCTCTAGTTACATATTAGAAAACTGAGGCTCACAACAATTGGAGAAGCTCTCCTAGCCCTTAGTAAATATCGTTGCATGTCAGGGAAAAGACCTGAGTTTCATTGTCCAGCACTCTCACAAAAAGCACCTTTGTAATCCCAAAAGGGAGAGGCAGAGACAGGATTCCTGAGGCTCACTGGCCAACCTGGCCTTATCAGCCAGCTCAGGTCCAAGTGAAAGATATTCAAAAAACATGGTGAACTAACTGCTCCTTTAAAACATAAACATCCCTGCACACTTCCATCCCAGGAGGCAGGGGCAGGCAGGTCTTTGTGAATTCAAGGCCAGCCCAGCCTTACATAGCAAGTTATAGGACAATCAAGGATACAAACATGGGACTCTGCCTGTGGGATGTTGAGCAAGCCACTAGGCAAGTATCAATAAATAAGCTATAAAATGGAAATAGTAATGCTCATTTGCAGGAATGTCAGGTAAGAGCTAGCAGCATTTCAAGTTAGACCTGGATCATTTTGTCAAAAAGTCTCTAAGACTTTACTTATTCTTTTTCTTTCTTTCTTTCTTTCTTTTCCTTCCCTTATTCTGAGCCACCTTGTGAGCCTGGATCTCAAATTCAAATCAAAGACAAATACTGCTACTCCCAGAGTAGATTTACCAGAAGACCTGAGTCTGCCTCCAGGTGACCTGACCACAGTATGCCCTCAGGCAGGACATTTAATCTCCAAGGCTTTGCTTTCCTCAAGCAAAACTAGAGAGAGATAACTTTCAGACTGTCTAGAGGGTCACTCTAGTTTCCTGAATACTGAATGAGCTCCTAACCCTGATAATTCATTGACGGGCCAGAGTTCAAAGCAGTGGGAGGCTTGAGTATGAGGTCAGGAAAGGGATGGACTAGGAACTCCACTCCAGGCCCAGACTTCTAGGAAGACATAATCATCTCCTCCCCCCTCCCCCCACGAAAGATGTTTTTACTGCCTCTCT